TCTCTGTTGTCCAAAATGTCTCAGTCTGAGAACTGATATTAGAGCCCCCTAAATCCAAAGGCTGAAGGAACAGCCTACTGTTTACCATCTGGTTGTGGCAGCCTGACTGAGTCAGGGCGATAATTGATGAGAGCAGAGAGAGCAAAGGCACTGAGGTGCCCGCCTCATGGCCAATAACATATCAGTGGCCCCTGTGAGTGGCAGCTCCTGGTGTGCTGTCAGGGTCTTCAGCTGCAACCCTGTAACTCTATGTAATGGCCCTCTCTCCAGCTCTGCCTTGAGATCTCTTAGTCTTGTGACAGAAATGAAAAATATAACAATGTCTGCCTTTGGTAATTTTTTATCCTTAGGAAAAACACACTGAGAACAACAACAAAGTGACTTTCATTAAGGTTGGAAGTTCATGTAAAGAGATTCTGCAGTTTAACATGACATTTGCTTTCTGCTATGGGACAACCGAAGTGACCTCGCATCAACCTTAGTGATGATACAAACACACCATGGTTACAGTGACAGCAGGCCAGCTGCTGCCTCTTTCCTGGAACAGGAGATGTGTGAAATCTCCATTCAGCCTAAGACTGCTGTGTCCTTGTATCAAATCAAAGGGCATTATAAGAACTGAATGGACACAGAGACGTGTAATTGTTCTTGTTGAATACGAATGCATCAATTTAGCGCTTTTGTCACTGCAGGAGTTGTTATCCCCCACTGTTCAAATGACAGAGCTACCTGTGTTAAGATGTTACATAACTGCGAGGAAACAAAGTCAGATTGTGTTTTGTTGTGATTTGATATTTGGACACAGGAGGGAAACAGGAATTCAGAAAAGAAGTCGGTAATAATGATGAAATGTTCTAGGAAAATGAGGATAGAGATTCTTACTTGATTAAGTTAATTGTGCCTTAACTGTCAATATTCTTCACTTAACAAATGCATGCATGGAATGGAAAATAAAGGTCACAACAAGGTACATCCTGTTTTTCACAGTGCAGGGCAGGTGATAGCCTAAACAATGTAATTCAGGTGTGTTCAATTAACAGGCAGAAGATGAAGAAGTCCATGGAGGATGAGGGCATGTTGAGTCACTGGTAAGAAAACATTTTTAGTTACAAGGAATAGGCCTTGTTGAATCTGATCTCGAATGAACTCTATTTGCTACCCCCGCCTCATACACTTATTTAGTCCCAGGTGTTAGTAGCTAAGTGGAGTTACCAAGGGGGTTAAGCGCAGTGTTTTGTTTCCAAGTTTTTTCTTGAAGAACCATAAGAGATTTGTTGATTCTGTGGCACTGAAAGTGCATTCTCCCTGGTGACTAATTAAGGCATTTAGGGCTGCGGATAACACCTTAACTTGACACGAGCGTTAATTTGTAATCAGGCATTCGAAGTGGCTCCTGCCTGGGCAGTGATGGCAATGAATGGGAGATCACGTATTTACCATGACATGTCTGCTTTATTGCATACATCTGTCCAATTAGCAAGTCTCATGGTAGCAACTCATTCACATTCTGAATATTTCATCCACATTTCATTCATTTCTGTTCAGTCCATTTTTACATTCAATCAAATGATGGTAGAGTGGTTTTATGTCATGCATAGACGCATACAAAAGTGGGTTTCATGGGGGGGAAGGCGGCCTACCCAGGGCCCGCACCCACCAAGGGGCCAATAAAATCAATTCAATTCAATTTTA